ATAGACCTTCAACACAGACAGTTCTGAAGCGCCCTGTAGTTTAAACTAATTATAGCGGTCTTGGACAAAAATGTAACAATCAAGTCAATAGAAAGTAAGTTTGATGCAAAGAGAATCGGTAACAGCTACTTCCGATTGTGTTCTTCAAAAGATGAAAATGCTTGTAACATAAAACAAGAGAGTACCACTTTTTAAGGGTAGAGCACTAAATAAATGTAACCTCTCGACTGAGAAGGAGTAAATAACAACGGTAAGATATACAGAGTTGTCTCCCATCTAAAAAAAGGCACACACTGCTTGACTATATCTACATAAATTTGCATAATCTTCGGTTAGGGTAAGAACTTATACAGGATGGCACTGGACAAGTACGCCGGGAGTTCTAAAAAGATGTTTCCAGTACGGCCTGCAAACGAAAGCGGATATAAGTCACGTAACGGACTATCAGACAAATGACCGATGGAAAATGTCCAAACAGTTGGAAGGCCGGTCGAGATAAAAACTTCCCAAACTAAAACAAAGTAGATATAACGTAGCGGAGCGTGGGGTGCGGCGTAACCTCTGCTGCAAGCATATGGCATCAAAATGCTAAACACTCCTGACGGTTGGAGGCAATTAATGCTCAAGGGTAACTAAAAGGGAACTTTTGCGTCTTCTAACCTAATAAGCAGACTACTTAAACGTCAACTATTGGCATCCAAAAACATAAGGTCGGCCAGCAATAGAAATAAACGTATCAAACAATTATAGTTCAGCTTTTTAATTACCTTATAAATTAAATTATGTTCGCCGGATACATCAGTATATTTAAAGTGATATAGGCATAGACCGAAATTTGAAGTGTATATCTGGGCTAAATTCTGTCAGTCACTGCGCAGCTGTGTCAAGCAGCAGCAGAATACCGGCGAAACACTGTCTGGGCCTATTAGATGATGAAACGAATATAAATCATAGTCTTTTAAGTTAAGTCGTCGAAGCTAATTCCGGTAAACAAAACGACTTGGAACGCGACCTGTAAGAAAACAGTGCCAGTAATAAAAGGTATGGCAGCAGAGGCTAGGGGTCAGTACCTATTCCAGTTTCGCTGACAATTACAATTGCCGGCTAAAACTTTCCCAGAGGGAATGTGTATTGGGACCAATTAGTAAAAAACAGCTAGCCACCGGGCTTGGAGAAGAGCTTAGGCTGCGCATAGGTGGCCGACAAATCTATTACGTTGGCATCAAAGACAGAACTATTACCAACCTAACGTCGACAGCTAACATAGGGCTATTTCATCATCAAACATGGGACTGGTGTCATTATTAGGTTGAAGGTTCTCTAGACACCATGACTTCAAATTAGGAAAATACCTCTTGAAACTCAGGTAGAATCATAAATAGATACAACCGCATGACGAGCCAACAACAAAAATGAAGCTATTAAGAGAAAGGGATCGAGCAGAAAATAAGTTCGCAGTGTTATTACCAGGAAAGGAGCGAGATTAATAGTAAGTAGCGAAATATGAACGATATGACATGAGCAAACTAACTAA